AATCCAACACTTTGTAACATTGAATTAACAAAGGTCACATTTCATAAATATTACCAAGCAATTTTCATAGTTAATGCAGCAGGCTGGTTAATGATTAGAGCAGTAAACTTCTGACGTAAAGCCATGATGAATAAGGGACATATTTTTACAGCTTCCGTTATTATTGCCTCAGGGATCTTAACTAAAAGCAGCAGAAATTATTAGGGTCCAACATATCTTTAAAATCTAACCAATCAGGCTATATCTGGTCTTCCCAATGGCTTGTGTATTACAAACAAGAAAATTCAAGAGATTTTAGAGTAACAGTCAGATTCTCAGTGGGAAAAAAATAAAAGCATGCTGCTTTCAATCTAGTTCCACTGGACTCTGCAATGTAAAAACCAGTTTTGGTAAGCAGTGGGAACTGGCATAGCTCATGTTAAGAATTGATAGAATTTTCCCTCTTGTCCCAGCTGCTGGATCTGCTGGATCAGATTTAACTTTAGTAAAGATGTAGTTCTGCTCTGAGAACTGATCCCAGGGACTGGCTCCCCTCCCAAAACTTGGTCTCAACTGAGTCAAAACACCTTTTCTTAGGTTGGAATGAATTACCTGAGCAGTAATCTTGATGAAATCTGTGGGGTTACCTCTGTAGGGAACCAGTGTTGAACATGTTATAAGTAAGGGAAGGTGATGGAATGATCCTGGGATTAAAGAGAAATCTTGGGTCAAGGTATAAACAGAGGACTTAAAACCAGTGAATGTAACTTCCCAGAACTTAATTAGGCAAGTTTTTATCTGATAGCCACACACTCATAGACAACCTCTATTTCTCAGTAGGGTTTTATCTTCTGTGAGCCATTTGTGTGTGAATTTGATGGGTTAGAAAACCTTGGGTTAGAACTATGGCACAACTGCCATCCAGCAGTGCTTAAGGGTGGAGGGCTTGGGAATCAGCAAAATTCCAGCAGGGATTTTATATTTCCTTCATCCAGAAGAAACTGACAGGGATGGAAAGTGGCTAATAGCAATCTGTAATTAATTTTTTGAGAGAAATGATGTCTGAAACATGCAGTGATATCCAAGTGCTCAGATGAAGAGGTGGAACTTGTTACATCTCCATTTGGGAAAGCTGTTTGATGAGATGAAATGTGAATTGTCCATGCAGTGACACCATTTGGACATGACAGGTTTTAATTTTCAAGTTTTAGGTGCTCATGCTCTGAGGTCATTCAGAATCTAAACCTAAAAACGTAATTCCTTGAAAACCTAGTGCAATTAAAGTGGCAAAAAAAGCAAAACCAAACCAAATAAAACCCCAACATTCATGCAAGTAGCAGCTCAGCTAAACATAAAATAACCCTAATTGTGAAAGCCAGCCTAAAGCAGCATCAGGACGAGAGTCAGAAGGAACCTAAAAGGCTTTTCCCACAGCTGGACCCAGGGGACCCCGATAGGCAGAGGTTTGCAGGATCACTGCTCCCTGGAGGGCTCACCCTGCCTGCAGACAGCACTTTCTCCAGCCCTGCCTCCATCCCAGCTGGAACAGGCTGAAAAATAACTGGAAGTTTCTTGTCAGAGCAGACACACAGCACAGCCAGTTCTTCATTGACAAATGAGCGAAAGAAAACAAAATATCACACTGTCATTTAAAAATAGCTTCAGCAGAAATACCATGGGCAGTGCTTTCACCAAGCAGAGATCAGCGACTGATTAGGGAGGGTTATCAGTGTACCTGGTGCCGGATAAAACCCGATCCCGCTGCAAGGCACTCTCACTCAGCTGGACAGATTGTGGGGGTGTGATGAATGCCTGAGAAACTCTAGAAGTTTTCTGATAATGCGGGAGTTTGAAACAAGGGGTTTCTGCTCCTGCTTGCAATGCAGCTTTGGGAAAGGTCCATGAGGTCTGATAGTGCCAAGTGCCATTTCTGGATTTCGGTGGGACAGGGCCGTTCCCTTTTCATGCCAAATGCAAGCTGGCTTGGTCCACTGCCAAAGTGGGGAGAGCTATGCAAGGGTGATGCCCCCTGTAAATGACAGTGAAGGATTTGTAAGGGAGAGACACCACTGCAAAGTTCAGCCCAGGTTTGGGGACTTCCATAAGTGACATCTGTGCCTTGTAGCCATGCTCTGAACTGGTATAGTTTGAATACAGAGTTGAACAGATGATTTTGGGAAGTCAATTCATTAAGTGTTCGTGCAGAGTCATCAGAGTAATTTTTACAGCACAGCGTGACATGCAACAGTTTTCCAAAGGCAGAGCTCAAATTGCATGACCTAGGATTTAGGGTTATTGCAAATTTAACATTCTTTCTGATCTTCTGCATCTTGATTCTGCTTATACAAAGAATTCAGATGTTACAATTAATGTATTTTTCTTGACCTGTTTATTGTAAAGTACTTAGGTATCATTTAATTTGCAAATGTTATTTGGATCTATTTGCATTATTCCAATTATTTGACCCAATAAGGGAATTAATATTCACTAGCTGAAGAAAATTGTGCAATGAACAAAAACACACCAGTTTGCTTAAAAGACTCTAGAACATATTTAAAGACAAAAGAATAAATTGATGGAAAGAAATCAAGAGCAATCCGGAGCTTTTCTGAGATGGTTTAATTTGTTTGTTTATGGTAGTCCCCTCAAGATGTACACCTTGACCCATCACTTGTCTAAAACTTCATATCTGGAGCTGTGACTGAAATCCAGATGCTTGAAACACTGTCAGTACTGAAAAAAGAAAACAAGTATATTAGAAGAAAAGCAACTGGATGAGTAGCTTTGCTAGGTCAAGTGTCATTCTCATGACCCTAAGATTAAAGATCTTTCCTGTTTTTATGTATCCTGACTGTTTTCAACACGTGACTGCAAAAGCAAAGCACAGAACAATGGAAATATGTGCAAAACCATCAAAACCACAGAAAGAGACAAATCAGGTAACATAGTGATCTATCCTAAAGCAAGGAACCCTGCTCCTGGGGCTGCCCTTGCAGCTGGCACCTATCCAGAGCTGATTGTGTGCCCTGATGGTTGGATCCCATCATCTGCAGCATGCTTGGGATGGCACAGTCCCTGCCTGCACACTCAGGACTGAGGACATGGCATCTGCTGCCTTACCAAAGCCACTTCATGGAGTGGGCAACACCCCAAGAGCGCAGCAGTGCCTGGAGTCAGCATGGCACTCCCCTGCCCCTGAGGTACAGCTGTTCACAGTCATGTTGTGCAGCAAGCAGGGGGATGCAGAAGCCTCACTCTGGGTCTCCTTGCAGAAGTATCAGGTCATCTTGCACCCATCCTTTCCCCTCCTTTTGTCCCATTCCCAGGATCTTGGCCATGCAGAGTACCCACTGTTCTTGCCCTTCCAGACTATCTTCAAAATGCTGTCTCAGGTGGTTCTCTAATTTCCCAGGGAGCTGCATGTCTGAGAATTCCCTTCCTGCACAACTTCTGTTACCTGGTGGGATCCACCTGGAACATTTCTGAGGGCAGTACCAGATCCATCACACCACTGGGATTCCTGCTCTCCCATCATGAAGCCAGGGCATTATTTAGGACTGGTTCTTCACTAAAGCAATGAGTTACTGTTCTTCACCCTGAGGGAACAGCAAGTGACACCTTAGGCTTTTCACTCCCAGGTCAGTTGCTTCTGCTTCAGGCACCACCTGAAAGGAAAACCAGCTGCCCCAGCTCACCCAGTAAACTGAAGGTGGGAAAATGCAACTCGGTCAGCACAGCCTGTAGCTGTATCTACTCAGCCTGGACCAGTGACTCTGACAATTTTGCTGCTGAGATCCCCTGCAGGAAGGAGAATACTGAATACAAGTTGTCAAAATGCCTTTTAGCATTAGCAGGATACTCTGCTCTAGGCAGAGGAAGATACATACAAAGCCTTAAGCTGTTCCTGGCTTCACAGAGCAGCAGACAGCAAAATACATGTGGCTGTATTGGGACACGCTGTTTTCAAAGCCCTGTGTGATAGCACCAAGTGGCATAAATCAGAATTACCTGTCACAAACTGTATGTCTCCATGGCCATTTCTCCAGTCCCAGCTGAGCAGCAGCTCAGACTCTCTGAGACAGTGGTTACACTGGAAAGAAAGGCAAATATGTAAAAAAAGCACTGATGTATGAAAAAATATTGAAATACATCCCTCTAGTAAGTAGTGCCGAGGATGTGTTAGGGCAGGAACATGAGGGGCTTTCCTGATTCCTGAGAACCTAGAACTGGCTCCAAGAGCTGCTTTCTTTAGCATCAATTTCACATTTTGGCTTTTCTGTATGAAGAAATGGAGGACTCTGCCCCAACGTGTGCTTTCTGCAGCCCCAGGGTGTCCAGTGTTTCTCTAAAACATTCTGCAAAGTTAAAGCTCAGCCCATCCCCAGGGAACTTGTGGAGCGAGGCCAGCAGCACATCCTCCTGGAAGCAGCTAATGACTGAGCTGCTAAATACTTCACATTCCTCATGCACACCAATCCAGACTCGAAGATGCACTGGAAACCTGACACGGAGGTTGCTCAGCATAAAACATTTGCCTCAGGGAACTCTTCTGAATAGCAACAAGTCAAAACCCCAGTCCAGACCTCACGTCCAGATCCAAGCCATATCCTGACCAGACTCAAAAGCCTAAATGTGGGGAGTCACAATCTGGGGCCTCTGCCTGCTCTGGAGACCAACCTTTTGGCTCTGGATTCCTGGTGCTGAGCTACTGCCCACCTGTGGTATTTAAAGACCTTTTTCTTAATTACCTTCCACAGCTCCAGGTTCTGTTGGGGTGCCATCCTCCTTTCCAAAAGTCTCTGCTTGCCTTGGGTTAAGTAACTCATTGCAAGACACTCTAACCAGGGTTGTTTTAAAACAAAGTTAGGTGTTGGTTTCTTTTCACCGTCCAGTTTGGATGAAGTCACCATGGTGTGTGAGCAGGTTAGCAGTGAAAAGCAGCCTGGCACTTACACTGACAGACAAGTTCTTGGCATTGTGCTATGGTAACCAAACAACATCCATGGCTCTCAGAACATGAACACAAAGTTTGCTGCTGGGATCAAGGTGTCAGGGCTCATAGCTGCTACCCCAGATCTGCTGCTCCAGCATTTGGGGTAAGAGGCTGAGAGTAGATGTATTTTTGCAAAGAAGTCCTGTTCTTAGCCGGGTTCAAGCATAGAGAAATCAGGACAACAGCTTCATAAATTAATTTCCTTCGACCTTCCTCACTCATCATTGACTTGTTCCCATACTTCTTGGCAGCCTCCAGCACCATTTTTCTTTTCTCCAGACTTCTGTGCTGCTTCTGTGCAGAGGTAAGCTCATGTAAGAGAGGCTTAGACAGAAAGAAAAACAAACAGCTAAGGTCCATATTTTAAGTATTATTGATATATACATGTTGATATATACATGTTGATGTATACATTGTTGATATATTCTGGCATCACTTATTTCTTAGAGCAAGAAATCATTTGTATGTATCAAAAACCTAAAGAAAACCCTGAAGTGCTGAATTTATCCTTTCTAACATAACAGTTATAAAAAGAAGGTACCATTTGCTATCTGGTTCTTACAACATTACATCCAAGTGATCCTTCCACTTGTCCTGGAGTTTGTCCTGAGGTGCTGCTGTGCTTTGCTCATTACTGCTAATACTGTTCTGCAAGGTTATGAGAAGATGAGACAACACAGAGCTTTTCAAATTGAGGTTTCAGGAAGGAGAGACACATATCTCTCCAGTCTGTTGGGGGAAAGAATGAAAAATAAATTGCTCGGGTGATCTGCAGTTGCTGGCTATTAATTCCTTTGAGGATTTTGTATTGCTTCCAAGGCAAATACAAGATTAGCTGATGGAGTAATGGAGTAGTATGGGATAGAGATCACATGGGGGTTCTTGTAAAACAGATGTTATTTATTTAGCCTATGCAGAGAAAACCTACTTACAGATGTAATTTTGTATGTTCAACATGATGTCTATGTGCCCAGTAGCCCCAGTATAACTTGAGATGCCAGGGTTCCTGCCTTTGTGATCTCCCAGGCAGGGACAGCTGCCCTTACAACCACCCCTGCTCAAGCAAGTGCTCCATCAGAGAGTCATAGTGCAACCACTTGGCAATGTGCAGAAGTGAGCAGGTAAAAAAGCAACCTGGCTGCAGGAAGTTAAGTGGAAAACAGGTCTCAGTCACCTGAAAACTTCCAGCTGATTCACCCAGCTGCAGGGACTGCCCATCCCAGCTGCACCCTTCGGTGGTGGTGCTTGGAAGAAATGCTGCTGCTGTAAGAATGCTGCTATTTTGTAAAAGCATTTGCAGGACCTTCCAGTGCCAGATATCCAGACGTGCTAATGCAAAATGCATTAGCCCAAGCAGCAGGAGCTCCAGGGCTGCTGGCGCCATTGAGTTCCACTCATTTCATCTTTATTATAAATACTGCATTGTCGTCTCATTCTTTTCTCTCATCCTCTCTTTAGAAAAGAATTATAAGGCTCTAGTTGACTGGTCCCTTTGACTTAGTACAGTTGTTAAACCACAGGCAGTAAATACCTCTTTCAATTGTTTAAGGCGGATGTATTTATTTCATTGGAACAACTGAATGAAATCTGTAAGAGCTAAAGAATCCCCCCTTTCACGGCAGCTCTGCTTTTCTACCTCTAAGCTGAATGCAAAAGGAACTCTTCCTTAAACCTGCCGGGTGAAATCAGCCCACCTTCAGGCTCCCCACTCTCAGCAGACTTTTTTGTGGTTCAAGAAGTATTGCAGACCTCCAAAGACTCACCGCCTACTTGTAAATAGTGATCTTTCACCAGGCAGATCTCAGCTGACAAATGTTAATTGTTATGCAAACTATCCAGACGATGAGCTCTTCTCCCAGGACTGAAGGGCAGCCACCTCCCAGATGAAACGAGGCAGCTGTTTAAACAGTGCGGGGTGCGCTGCCCCGGCTGCCAGAGCAGCGGGAGAGCCGAGTGGTGCGAGCCCAGCTGGAGCTGTGCCATGCCACCATGGTTAACACCCCCGCTTTTGTGGAGGAAACCTCCACAGCACAGCTTGAGAACTTTAACTGACCCCACGCCATCAGGAAGATGATGCTGTTTCAGTGGAAAACAGATATATAAAAATTGTTTCTTTGGGCTCATGTGGTGGAATGCTCCCCACTTCAACTGGGAAAAACAAATTCTGATTGTTAGGGCAGAATAGGGATGGGAAATCAATGCTTTTCCCAGACCAGAGGATTTGAAAGAGACCAAGGATGCTGAGAATGCCATGCAAACCTTGTTCTTACCAGAAGGCAGGTCCTTGCCTGAGGCAGGTGGTACTGTTGGGCCATGGCTCCCAATGGAGTCCCCTGGGAAGCTCAGAACCAGCTCCCATTCTTGTGAAAGGCTCCATTGGTGCTGCTCATAACTCCACCATAGGCTGAAAGGAATTTTAAACGTGCTATCAGCTCATTTTTCCTTCTAGTCCCGTTTAGTCCCTGTTCCTTCTCTCCTGCACTGCTCCAGTGCAGGGTCTTTGGGATCACTATCAAGATTAAGAGTAATCCCAGAAAAACAGAGGGACTCACCACACCTATTTGTAAAAAACACCCTGACAGGGCTGGTGGGGACTCTGTGAGCAGCAAGTCCTGCCCTTTGCCTGTGCAGCCCGCAGAGAGCCTGGCCTCAGTGAGGAGGAGGTGGTTCAGCAGTGTAGAACAGCTCCAGGAGTGAAAGGTGCCACTTGCTGTTCCCATGCCTTGGATCAGGCTGGATGCAGAGAAAATTTACATTTCAAGGCCTGTATGAGACATGCATGATAGTGGTACGAGACCACTGGTGTGTGTTGCCAAATTATCGGTTATCAGCCACATCATTGCACTTCTGCAGTAAAAACCCACACTTTTCTGGCCACCAGATATAATGGAAAAATGTTTATTCCCTGGCAGTTACTTAGGATAATTTTCAGAGATTGCTGTGTTCCTGATGAATGGAGAACTACTTCTGTATGTGGCTGTGTTGAATTTCTGAGCACTGAACCAGGGCTTCATGCCATCCAGTACTCCTTGGGATGGTTTCAGAGGTTTTGTTGTTTGTTTTCATTTTTAAGATAGCTCTGTACTATTGCAGCAGGGAACTTTAGTTTGTATCTTTCTCAGTTTTGTTTTGTTCAGTTTGGGTTTTTTTAATATATAAAATGCTTTGTCCCACCTGTACCTGTGTAGTCTTCAGCTGTAGAGGACTTAATGAGTTTGACCCAGAGCATTTTGAAACAAAAATACATAGAAAGAAAAAACAGAGGAAGGACTAAAATTTGAAGGTTTAGACAACAAGGAAGTTTCCAATGATTTCTACTTTCTTGAAATTTAATAGCAACATATTCATTGATTTAAGTGGCAGCAGGACGACATTCTACTTAAAAGGGAAATAAATGGCATTTAACCAAAGAAGTCTCTTTCAATTTCACATCCCCGTCCCTGTTTTTGCATCAGTTCCCAGTATCAGGCTGAGCAGAACAGCCATGTGCTATTTCCATGCTCCACTTTGCCTTTCAGCAGCTCTCTCTGGCAACTTATTTTACAAAATATGGGAAACCTCCTTCCTGCAAGACCTGTAAAGCCATGGATTCAGTTGCCAGGGCAGGCCACCCATTCCTCTCAGCAAGAGCTCTTGGCTCAGCCCACAATGTCCACAGTTGTTTTCAACTGAGACTGAGCTGATAAGGGGATTTCCTTTCAAGTGGAAAAGCATAAACTATATTTATATGCAGATAATTTCCTATTTGTTGGGTTTAGCTTAACAGGCTGAATTTCTGGCCTGTCTCTCCAGTGCTCTCCGACCACATGAAAGATATTCACAATTGTCTGGGTGGGAGTTGTTTTGCCAGAAGCTGGAGAGATGCCACAGTGCAGCTGCTGTGGAAGGCAGAGGTAGAAGGACATAGCCAGTCCTCCTTACTCTGCTTTTTCTGTAAGGAGCTAACACACACCACAGCACCTGCTTAGCATTTGGTACTACATTCATTACAGGTACTTGTGCCACTGACCCATCATTTGTTCATTATATGGAAAAGTTATATGTATTTTGATAAAAAATTTTTAAAGAGAAATCCCTGAAGTATAACTAATGCCTGCTGAGCCACCCTGAGGAGTCAGTGATTTTTCAGGCAAGTAAAACCATGCTCAGCTAAGGAGCAGGAGAGATTGAATTACATGAGTAGTAGAGGAAGGATTTACTGAAAAAGCTGGTAGAAGATTCTCAAACTATTAATGACCAGAAGGAAGGGAATATCAAACCAGCAGTACTTCATGTTCATCTGGGAAACTTACTCCATTCTTCTCTGCAGGGATTTCCAGAGGATGAGACCCCAGTTCACGGCAAACTGGTAATTATTAATCTTCTCTGTATCCATTTACACTTGCAAAACACCTTAGGATCCCTCCCTGCAGGAATTGTTCATGTTTCTTGTATTACCTGGGGGTTTTATATTGCATTCAGTTCACTGACTGTCAGGGGAGTATGCTCTTGAGGTTTAAAAAGCTTTTATTTAAATATATATTCCTCTAATGTTGTACATCTGGTTTTGTTTAAACTCGTTTCAGAAATCCTTTGTTTTCTGGGTCCTTTACTGCTGGTCCATCTAAACTGTGGATGTTACCAGCAGCTCTAAGTGAGCCAGTGTCCTTTCCAAGATCAGGATTCTTCCATTCACCCTCCTGGGAACTCATGTGGGAGTGGATCAATGTACACAAAGGTTTTTCAGGGGAATGTCCTAAAGTCACTTTTGTTTTATACTCTGAAAGCCCATAAAATAATAAAAACATCCCCAGAAGACAATAAATACCTGAATGTCTTACCCTTTCTGGGAGCCCTTAGTGCTTCTTGCGTCCTTTGATCTTTGGGCCAGTGTCCTTCAAGAAACAGCACATAGCTCTGGTCCACCCATCTCCAGACAATCTTCTGGTTCTAGAAAGAGGTTTTTTTCAGATTTGGAGTGCTGTCTGTGCCTTCTGCAGTAGAATCTTGTATCTTTAAGTCTTTCACTTGTGGAGTTTTCCATTCTTTTCTTTTGAAGTAGAAATGTTGTACGAGACCCCAAGAGATCTAAGGACAGTGTTGATGTTCCCTGCTGCCTTGAGTTACAGCTGAGATAATTCCTCTGCTGTGAAATGGTCATTAATCAGACCTGAAAGTTAAAGTTAATAGAAAAAGTCTTTAGAATTCAAATAGAATTTGTGCATAGGCATGTCTCCCAGGTCTTGTGTGTGTATATACATATAGACACATATGTATGTACTCACCTATGTCTGCATTTATACACATACAAAAACCAATGAAAAAATATATATGCTGCATTCCAGAAAGAAAAGTAAGAATCAATATAGAAAGTTGTATCTGAAAAAATCCAGTTATCATCACAGGAGAGACCATCCTCCTAGCCCTGCCCACTAGAACTGCATAACCCTGACTCTGTATGAGAATTTAAATGGCGTAAAATAGCAATTTTTTTAAACATTTGATTTTCTGGGAACTTTTTTCTTTTAGAGTTTCTCAACTTGAGAAAGTGACAAGCTACACAGTGGATTCCTGTACCTTGTGCAGCCATGCAAATTATATCTAGTTTTCTCATGCCAATTTTTAAATACAGTTCCCATCCTTCTTAACCATGCCCTGGTGTGAGACAATACAGTATTGAGAAACGCTTGAAGCTACAATAGCAGCATTGCAGATCTTTTGTTTTATCATTAAGTGGAATGAATCCCTGAGGACTCAAGAGAACTCCACAGAAGCCTGATGTATGCAAAAAGAGGCTGGTTATGGTAAACAAGGTTAGAGGTATGTGAATAGTCAATATGCACATTCACACAATGAGTAGACAAACGCCCAGTGTCATGGGAATTTTGGTGAGGGAGCCTTCTTTCTTGCCTGTAATAGACAAAAAGGGAAAATATCTATCACCATTTATGAGATCTCAGGTAAAGGAATGTAAAAATAACAATACTCCATCCATTTGAGGCTGCACATGGACCCTGACTGAGCTACAGCAGAGACCAGTCTTTCACACTTAGCATGTGAGATCACCAAATGAAAGTCAAGTGCATTGGGCCAGGTAGATGTTTCTTGCTCCCTGCTCCTGATGAAAAGTTCCTTTGCAGAAAGGAATAAGCATGTCCTAAGAGTGAGAGCTGGCTGCCATGAGAGCTGGGGACAAGACTGGATCCAGAGCTCTGCACAGGAAAAGCAGCAAAGTGAGGTGGCATTCCACAGAGCTCTTAGAAACAGGGACAGAAATCATGGTAATAGGACCAAGGTGGCCACATTCAGGCAATCAGACCAAACACAGGAGCAAAAACAGGTCCAGCCATAGCCTTTGACATGTCCTTTTTGAGGACAGCAGGGTCAAATCTTCTGCATTGACATCTGCAGTAAATGTGTGTCTAAATGTCTGCAGTTCAAAAGCAAAACCAGTCTACAAGATGTCAGTGTTCATCTTCCGTGAGAGGTATATCAGTCAGGTTGTCAATTAAAAGTATTCACTGAAGGTGAGCTGTGGATAAATTAATCTAATAGGAAAGCTCCATAGGTCAACAGTTTCCAGTCAGGGATGAGGGAATGTCACAGCACATTGCCTGTGATTGCACTTGATGGTAATATTGTCTGTAGTCACCTGGAGGCAACATCCCTGGATATGTTAATGACACCATTGCCTGCAGCCTGCATGGTGCTGTGGTTCAGCATGTTTGAGCTGAAGGTTTATTTCTGTACTGACCACAGTGCTACTGAAATGCCCACATGAGCATCCTGGGTGGCTCTCTCTGCTTGTGAAGCATCTCCTCCTCATACACCAGAAGAGCAGTTGTCACACACCCAAGAGGAGATGAAAATGGGTCGTTCTGTAGACAGTCCTATACAGAACCAAGATTACAAGCAGAGAAGGTGCAGTCTGACATGAGACATAACCAAGATACAAACTGCTGGAGATCCTCACAGAGGTCAGCAGGAGTTGGCAGTAGTTGGCTAAACCTCCAGGGACTAGAGGGTTCTGCATGCCCTGCAGTCTGGTCCAAAAGCACCAGCCATGGGGTGTGAGCTGCTTCAAGGACCACATAACCTGAAGAGGCGGATTCTGAGCCTGCACTGTGAAGTCCTGCCCTCTGAAGTGGAGGTAACCTAGGATAACTGAAAATCAGTTTTTTGGCCAAATATCCAAATAAGAAGTAATGAAGATTTTCTGTCACCTCTGAAAAGAAGAAAAGGTGTAAAAAAAATCTCAGGTCAGAAGCAGTAGGGTTTAGGCACACTTGCTTGCAGAGTAACAGTTGAAGGTAGAACCAATTCTTTCAGCCATAACCAAGATAAGAAGACAATCCATATCAAACACAGCTGAATTTGGGGAAATATTCATCTTTGGTCCACTGCATTCACAGGATTTGAAACTACAGGAAACACAAAAAGACACCATCACACACATGATGTGGAAGAAGCAAATCTTCACCAAAGCTGCCTCAGAACTTCAAGAGAAGAGATGAAAAAATCCAGATGCTCAGAAATACTCTGCTGGACACATCCCTCATATGATGTTTTATTGATTAATATAATGTTTAAAACATTCTATTATTGGCTGATGTTCCTCAACCAATCAGTTCACATCTGGTTTTTTTTGTAAAACTACTTCATATTTATCCTCCCAGAGACTTTCTAAGCAGTAGTAGATATTTTCAGAGATGCAAAAGGAATTCTGGATTAGTTTGGTTGGGTTTTGTTTTGTTTTGTTGTTTTTTTTCAAGATGAAGAAGAATTTGAGAGCAAAACCAGTTTACATTTATTCATCAAGGCCTTTCTTTTATAATATAGATACCAGACATGAATATGGAAAAATAATGATGGTTTCTCTAATGAACTGAAAGGTACCTTTTATCCATAAAAGTCTCAAAACATTTACAATCAAGTAATGAAAAAAAATCCTCAAATGGGAGACAACTGGTTTGTCGCAATTCAGACAAATATTTGTTATGCAAAACAAACTTCTATTTTAAAAGGCAGTGCAGGATATTTGTGAATGTTCTCAAGAGCTCTGTTCCCATCTCTGCAGAAATATAAAATTACATTTTTTAACCATTTGCATTTCAGCAATGGGTCAAGCACTCCAAAGGCAGCATGGCTGGGTGCAGGAGATGCTTCTGCCAGAAATCGTAGACATTTTACGTCATGCACATTCTGGTGTTTCCCGTTACTGTTTTCCTTCAGTTTAGGGATAATCCAAGATGTATGTTCTTGCCATTTAAAACTAAGAGAAAAACCACAACAGTATTTTCCATGTAAGCCAAAATCCTTCACATGTGCCAACTGCCAAAGCAGACAAAAGAGCTTTGATCACAGTCAGACACCATAACTAGCTACTTGTTTTAATTACAGAAAGTTTTAGCTATTATTACATGACAGGCTGGCACATTCAGCACATGACATAATTTTATGAAAGCTTTTCATTTCTCTCAGCACAGCTCCAGCCCTAGGCTATTCCACTCCTAGCAGAAGCATCAGTTCGAACTGAAGCCAGGGAGATATCACAGGCTGAGACCTACGAAACCCAACCACGCACCAATCCCACTCCTGGCTAGGTTGGAAGAACATCATTCTCAGTGCTCCAGCCAGGGCAGAGCTGTCAGCTGCCTACAGATTGTGTTTTCTTTTGTTCTTTTAATTTTCAGGATGAAACAATCATAAATTTCTTGGTTTTGGGGATATATTGCCTATTGCTTTTACTTGATGTTGTCCTTCTATTTATAGTACATTAGCTGTTTTAAGTGGCTGATGAGCTAACTGCCAAAATATTGGCTGTTTTCATGCCTGAATCACTGTCAAAACACCAAAAAAAAAAACCCCAAAAAACAAAGCAGTAATGCCACAGGTCAAACCAAACATTTTTATAGGTATTCCTGGGCCAGTATGTTTTCATTTCTCTTAGCAATACTAGAATTTTTTGGCAAAGTTTTCTGTGAGCAAACTTGCAAGAGCACTGATGAAGAACAAATCAAAGGGGCTGTGATGGTCCTAAAAAGGCTCTGTGATTTCTATTTGAACAAATGCTTGTGAAGACTCATTTTCTGAGAGCTCTGGAGCTCTAATCCTCATCTATTCAGCCCATTGGAGAAAAATACCAAATCACATCCCCTATCACCGCATCTAATTTCAAATGAAATCAAATAAGCGTAGTAAAGAGAATAAACACAAATAATTAGTGGCAATGATAACATAGGAACTGGTTTGAATTAGTATTTTTCCTTTGGAAAACACTGGAAAGCAATGTCAGAGTTTAATTTCAGAGATTTCTGTTTAATGTCAGAGATTAATTTAACAGCCATTAAAACATCTTATTAACTCAAGTGCTAATTGAGTGCTTGGCAGGAATAACAGAGCACTGCCAACCACACACATAAAAATGGCTAGAATTTGAAGAAATTCTGTGGTTTAACATTTTATTGCTTTTATAACTTGCTAATATAGGTTTAGCTGGCTTAGTTGGCCTTACCTACCTCCTTTGTACCCGTTTTGAAGATGCCATGCTCTGATGGCACAAAGTCTCAACTGTCCTTAGGAAAAGTTAAGTCCATTTGCAGTCCTTGTGGCTGAAATCTTCCAGATTGGGTTGAAACATATGCTTTGCCAGAGTTTGCAGGCAGAAAGGTGCAAACCTGAGCTTTGGGAATTCTCAGTGCCACAACTGCTGACATGATGAGCACTGAGAAAGGCAAGGTGAGCACTGAGGGAACAACTGGCCCAGCTGTTCTAGTAAAGGACCCATGACCATGCTGACCACCACCCTCCCAGGACTGGTATTTGAGTTCTAGAGTACCAGAATTTTTTTTTCTTCTACATGGATATCTGCAGTCTGCAGGGAGAAGTTAGACCAGCAGTGCTGCTTCCTTTATATTTGACCCCCAACAGTGATGGTTTGTGGTTGACACATGCTACTTCCTGAGTCCCCTCATCTCTTGCACCCATAGCTTGTGAAGGCATTCTACCATGGCTCTAGACTGAGAGATGATGGCCACAGATTGCTGTATTTTGCTTTTGCAGAAGCACAGAGATCACTTCCACCCAGTCTTCCACCAGCACCCACAGTAGGAGAACAACTAGTTTTTCCTGACCAAGCAAAGCCAAGTCACCATATAGCCTGAATTTTGTTTGAGACCTCAAGGAAAGTACATCCCACCACTGGAAGTGTTACAAGGACACTCAGCTCCAGACCTCTCCCCTGGATGACTGCAAATGGAGGTGGGGGGTAAGGACCTCACTGCTTTAGGGCAAGCCCAAACTTCAAGTCACAGCATCTAAATTGAGCACAGGCAGGAGATAATTTGAGCTCAGCCCACCCTAAAAACACAACAGATACTTTGAGACCAAGTGAGAGCAAACAATAGAGATGAAAAGTTTAGGGTCATGAAGTTTGTCAAGTTTAAAAACTCCTCAAGTTGTTTTCTAGCCCTCAGCAGGTACATTCCCCTAGCAATTTGTGTTCAGATACACAGAAAGCACTGGATGAAGCCCGGATTTATGGGCAGGCCACTGGCTGACCCAAGTTCCTGACTTGTGTGTGGCTGCAGCACGTGCTTCCACGTGCTGGGAGGCTTTGTTGTGATTGCTGTACCTGCAGTGAGTGTGGTTTCCTCCAGCTCAGCAGCTGCAGTGATGGTGGTCTCATGCACACACAGCTGCCTCGAGCCTGCAGTCAGAAGCCCCTACTTCAAGCTTAAAAGCTGCTCAACTGTCCGTGATGAAGCTCCAGTGAAGCATGAACCAAGCAACAGTGACCAGGGCAGGACTGGAAGCTGTACCTGGGACAATGTTCAGGTTGCACAGGTACCCAGCACAGGTTATAAAGTGCTTCAAGTTGTCTAATCCACTAGGAACCTTGTTCAGTGGAGGGAGGGAGGTTTTGCAGCATGTCATGTCCCCCAGCCACCTAGAAATGACCAGCCACCAAACAACTAGTGCTTATTAATAAACTTGCTTAAGGAAATTGGCTGGAGTCTTACTTTTCATTGTGCTGAATGAATGGAGCTAAATATAATCCAGAGCTCATTTTGCCGGGTAACAATGCAAGAGAAACTTCCTGTTCTAGCAGAAATCCCTGAGTTTAAAAGTAGAAGCTTCTCTAGGCTGGGTGAAATTCTTCAAATCTCAAGAAATACTGAGGTCACTCTAAATTCCTCTGTCCTCCCAAATACAGGTATTATTTTAATATTCTGTGTGAAGGGTAATGTAGTGTCTTTCTTAGAACCCAGCTGAAACCACAAATTGTTTTAATCAATGAGCTCTCAGATACAAAGGTACTTCTTGGCTTAAGACCCAAATTCAATAATTATTTTTTCAGCTGAACTGGAATAAAGACATTATTTAAACATGTATCTGTCATCTCACACTGCCTGCGGCTGGCTGTTGGATATCTATTTCTCAGCAGCACTGTGGCACCTCCTTATGTAAAAGCAAAAAAACATAACCATTTCCTTGCATAACTTCATTTTGGGATTATGCCTCCTTACTCCTCCTTCCCTGGAGCATCCTGCAGGAGATGGTTTCAGGTGCTAACAGAGCCCATGGTGGGTGTACAAGTGCGCACCGGTCTTTGCAAACAGGCCTGTTTATGTGGCAAATGTGCAAAACAAAGCCTCAGCTTTTGATTTTTTTGCTCAATGCAAAATGAATCACAGGTTGATTGGGCTGCAGGAGAGAGGGGATCACTGGAGAATTGGGAGTTCAGGAGTAGCATCACTGCCAGGGCTGGAATTCTGAAGATTGAGCCATATAAAAATACTTTAATCCTGCCAGGCTCCTCTCCTTCATTTTGCCATTGGTTATGCTACAGACCCATCAACTTTCTGGTGAGTTTTCCAGGATCAGCTTTGATCCCACATGGCTGCCAGTGTGAGCAGCCTCCTTGCAAAGACTTGTGCTCTAGGAGAACAAGGACTTGATCTATGAGCCCTTTTTTTTAGCTCTGCAGGTGCAAAATCTGGTCTTTTCCCTTTGTGGCAGTGCCATGCACAATGGACCTGAACTCAGAATTGCCAGCAAATACCGACTGTTCTGCTTCTGTGTGTGTAGCTGCAAGATGGTGTTGGACTGCATTCAAGCCCCATGGGACTGTGGTAATTCCCTTAGAGGAGGACATCAGGTAAACCACAGTTGTTGTGGGTGGGATACTGAACACCTAATGAATGATAGAAGTTTCAGGAGGCTTTAAAGCCAGAATAAGATTTGGTGAGGCCCCTGGGCATATCCAGTTTGGTCCATTTACTTCACACACCCAGGGTCAAGGCACTTGGTCGAGGGGTACAAACAAGGAGGAGGCAGAAACCGGTGGAGTGAAAACAGAGACGTGTGTTGGAGGTGGAGGGTGGGCAGGAGGCCGTGATCTCTGGGTAGGAGTGAAAGGAGGTGTGAAAAAAGAGACACACTGGGTACCTGATAAGGACCTGCTGATCTTTTGGATGTCTCCTGTACAGGAAGGTTCCTGGGAGGCTCCCGAGAGGCCATGGACTTGCTGAGCTCCTGTGCCATTTCTGTAGGACTTGCACAGACAGGCAGCTGGGTCTGCAAGATTTAAGTATGACTGCAACAACCTATTTGATAATCCTCTGCTTCTGAAGGGCTGCAGGTATACATAGATAACAGACAGATCACCTTACCCTCCACCAGTGAGATCTGGGGCACCGCTGGTCCTTTCAAGGCTGGGTGACAGCCACACTGCTGCACAGCACATCACCTAGGTGAGAAAACACCTTGGTAGGCCTTCAATCCAAGGCAGCAGCACCCAGGTGCAAACTGCCTTGAGTATAATTCCACCTGAGCTGAACCCGCAAGAGAAAGTTAGCATTATCCGTTTCAGTTGCTCCTGCAACTCTGGTGAGTTTGAAAGTTAGGAGCTGCCTTCAAAATCTGTATGTGTGCTCTCAGTATTACCTGTCCACCAAGTGGCCTTTCAGCTTGGAGCAGCACCATGCAGTACTTTCCCTATCTGTCTCATGCCTATGGTTTTCCACAGGGGACTTTCCCCACTGTGGGGCTACCTTTACCTGCTGCTGATGAACACATAATCTGGAGCTTGGGCTGTCCCCCTGGACAGAGCCTGAGATCCTCTGGCACAGCCACAGTCCCTCAGTGAGGACAGCTTGAGAAAGACAAGGCTTGAGAAAGACAGGGCACACTGCTGTCCACGAGTAACTGAGGCTTTTGTACCTCAGTCAGGCCCTGCAGAACCCCCCGAGCTGTGGGGAGAGGCTGCAGGATGCAGGAGCAGATTTTGTGCTCTCACCCTGTGCTTTGATGGTTGTGCCTAATGAGTTAATCAGCTGCTTTTTGTCGCGCCTGAAATATAAATAACAAACAAGCAAAGGATGAACTGGTAAAATAACAACAAACAACCAGAGGATGAACTGAAAAGAGCAAAACATTTTCTGCCATGTGCTCCTTTGACTGCAACATCAAAGATCATATTAAGATTTTTGTAGAAGGTTATTTCTCTGGGTTCCTTAGCTCCAAAATTATCAGGAGTGTCAAAATCCATTTGCAGGAAGACCTTCTGGGGAGGAGGATGCTGCTGAAAGGGCAGAGATGTTTAATATTTCACGAAGGGCATGCACAGACTAACACACAGTTCTCAAAACATCCTCATTAAAATGCTTTAATTAACATTGGTTCAAACACTAGCAGACTTGGAGATTCATATGTCTCGGATACATTGGGGTGCTGCACACTGCTCAGGTCCCAGTGGGAGCATCCTTTCCCTCTGCCATAGGAAAGGATGCATCTTGAGCCCCCTCACAATCTCCTTCTATCACCCTGTTAAGTTTCCTCATCTCCAAGGGCCAATAAATATTTTTTGCCCAACCACATGCCAGCCAAGTAACCATTCATGCAAGAGCAAACGAAGTCAACAGTGAGCAGCAGAGATGATCCTTTCCCTTTCAAAGGCTGTAGTTTCAGTTCCCCAATGTCATTAATCTCATTAACCAACTACCTAGCATCTGGACTAGGCACCCCCTCCTCCCACACAGGCACAATGAGTGCTTCCCAGTCCTCAGCCACCTTGTCTGTATTTTGGAGAAAGGACAAGGAAAGGGCTTCAAACCAAGCCAGACAACAGAAAAACAGGGGCACAACCCCATTTATATGGGGTCTTTTTTAAAATGGAAAAAAGATACTTCTTTTCTTTTTTCTTTCTGAAAAACTTGAGTTAATTTTCAAAAAAAGAGATGTAGGGAAAGGTGGAAAAATATCAACAGTACTTATTGCTCCTTGGGCCAGGAAGGGTTTGGGGGCTCTCCAGAGCAGTGCCCTGCTCCAGGGATGTGTGGTTATGCAAGAGCTGAACATCCACAGTGACCTGGTAGTGCCCACCCCATCCCAATCACAGGTACTCACTTCCATCCAGGGACTCCAGCCTGCCCTGGAGCTCCTGGATGCACAGACCACAGGGAAAGGTCAGGGACTGAAAGGGCCAGCAAGACCAACCAAATTTCCTGACGGCAGCAGCACATGAGGAAGTGCCCTTTGCCACCAGCCACTTTATCTGAACAGAGATAAGAGGAAGGGACTGCTCTCCAGGCGGACTGCTGCCCTTTCCAAGCACTGCTGCCACCCCACAGCAAAGCCATTGAGGGCCTGGGTGGCAGCTCGTTCTGCACAGCCCTTTACAGTGATTATTAACCAAGGCTGGAGTCACATTCCCAGAACTTCCTTTGGTCAGCACTGACATGGCAGCAAGCCATGGTGAGTCAGGTCTGCTGAGTGAGTGCCTGAAGGACTCCATCCTTGCACATGGATCCACTGGAGGATGCCATCCCAGCATGCAGAGCAGCTTGCACTTCAACCTACAACAGATATGAATTTCCACTCCAGAGAAAATACATTTTAATTATGCAAACTCTATGCGCATTTTTAAAACACAGGGAAAGAAAAAACAGGACCCTGTTCTTATCTTTTTGTGAAATCATTATTCATTTGAAATACATGGATAATTAACCACATTATCATGCAAATTTAAGTGAATTGAGCTGGCTGAATTAAAGAGACTTCACCTACCTAACCATAAAAATTGCAACACGGAGCTATCGCAACGAAGCTCTGAGCACTATTTTTAGTGCAGCGCTATAAGAGAGGGCCTGTGGGAGGGCATCTTCCAAAGGAATGCAGACAGTATCTTTTAGGAGGAATTAATCCTTAAGAAACCATTACTAGCTCTCACGAATGGCCAAGGGATATTTTTCTGGCTGGGCTGGAGTTTATACACAGAGAGCCACATGCACAGAAAAAAAAATCATGACTCATTGAATTTAAGAAACAATTAGTGAAGACAAATTTTCAAGTGCTCCTCCCTCTGCTCCTGATCCCTTGGCTCTGTCCTTGGGGCTCACCAGCCCTTTACTGGTGAAAAAAAAACTAAGTTAAAAATTCTTATTTACTGCCTCTGAATGAAAGCTGTTTAACTTTTTCAGAATTACATCTCTACAAAGCACTCATGCCATACTTTTATTCACCTGAAAAATACCCAGCTACTGAGATCAACTTCTTTCCATTTCCTGTGGTTTTACAGCATTGCATCTTTGACTGTCAGGTCTCAGGTACCAGTGCTTGACAACCACATGCACAAACACTTCCCCTCATCAAAAAAAGGACAATTAAAATCCAAAGCACAACCTGAATGGTGATTTTTCCAAAGATATTTTTGTGCTTGTTTTTTTTGTTCTTTGGTTTTGTTGGGTTTTTTCTGCCTACAGAAAAAAATTACACATTAATAGATCTCTGTAAGAGAGTACAACTCATGCTTAGAAAGTACCTTGGCTCTTGTTCAGTTGTAGCCTTGTGTGGTACCCCTTCCTGGTCATCCTGACACTGACAGGTATTTCTGGCACAAAGGTGTTGCAGAATCACAGGGACACAACATGGTGGCTGACTGCAGATGCTGTTTTAAAGAACATTGTCCTTAGACATTCACAAACAGCTAAACCTGGCTGTCTTTCCCCCAAATACCTTTGAAGACATAAACTGAGAATAGGCCTGTCCTGGCTGAAATACTAACATGTCTGGAGCATCAAAATCATTAAATAAGTCACAGAAACTCACATTTCATTGATAAAAAGTACTTAGCAGCATCACCTTGGAAAAAAGTCACAAATACTATATAAATGGACATTCTGAGATGAAGTTTTGTGGGTGTTTTTAGATGCATCACCCTCACTCTCTTCCTCCCTTGCATATCTTACCTCAAAAACATTTGACCTCAGATGCAGTACTCAGGAATCTCTAGATGAAGGGGAATCCAGGAGTTCCCATCTGCCTGAAAGTCACTGGGACTTTGGTTGCCCAAGTGACTTCAGCAAATAGGACTTCAAAGCCTTCCAAAATAGTACAGCTGGAAAAAATAAATAAAGGTTGTAACTAGCCTAGGATTTTCAAATACTTTGAAAAGTATTTGAAATTTTTTTTCAAATACTTAAAAATTATTTTTTCAATTTTTTTTTATTTTATTTTTTAATGGAGGTGTTTGCACTTATCAGCCTTATCTAGTGCTTCAAAGGGCAGTGGTGGTAAGCTTGGCTGCCCATCCCTAACACCAGTCCTTCCTTCTAATTTTGCTCCTGCTTGTTGAAACTTGTTTTTGATTGCACATCCATGGGGGAAAGATTTACATTTTCCTACATGTCTGCAAAACACCTGCCACAGTTTCTGAGCCCTCTAAGTGTAGTAGTAGTAGTAGTAGTAAATAATAATAATAATAATAATAATAATAATAATAATAATAATAATAATAATAATAATAATAATAATAATAATAATTACAAGCACGATTCCCAGTGCACACAGTGAGCAGTGAGGCAGCTGAGAGCTTGACCGCCAGCAGCTCTGTAGTCTGACATCTAATTACCAGCAAAGGAGAGGGTGGAGGAAGGCCAGCAATAGCAGAAGAAGAGGGAAAAGCTGGGAGAAAACTGGAGTGCATTACAAGGTGGAGTTGCTCTGATCACCTGTGCTTAATGAAGATGCTGTGACTAAATACTTTCAAGGTATCACTCCAGAGAAATCCCTTTGTTTCTATTGGGAAAGTTTGTCTGGGTGGATTTGAGGTCCTTTTCTGCTGCTTAGGGAATTCCATAGGCTGGCACTGACCACAAAACACCCCCAAACATCAGAAGAAATCAAGCAGCATCAAATGAACAGGGATTGCCATGCCATCAGGGGATGCCAGGAGGTGGATATGGGCTGCACCAAGAGCAGGCACAGGAAATTTGCTGAATCCCAAACCCCTCTGATTTACTGCCCTGGTGCAAACCATCTGCCCAGCACATGGTCAGTCATCCTGACGCCTCTAAGAAATCCCACCTGGAAACCCAGCAGGCTGAGACATAGGGCAAAAGGGACCACTTGGGTCATAAATACAGCTCTGTGTTTCTGCAGGGAACTGAGCTACATATTTCACTCAGAATGAGTGAGTGGGTGAGCTGGTGAGGGATATGGGTGGGGGTTTCGTTTTATGGGAAAAAATCCACAATTTTGGAATTTGTTTTCTACTTCGAAGCAGGTAATAAATTTGTCATGGATTGCAATTCCAAAATTGCTTCACATGAGGTAGATCAAAGTATTTGGCATGTATGAAATCTGATGTAGGCCTTTAAAAATCATAAATTAGCTTTTTCTATAAAACTGAAAGACATCAAACCAAAACATTCCAAAATATAGAAAAATCTGGAGCAATTTTAGTTTATTTAAATTTTGTCCAATTCAAAGCATTTCTCCAAGAGAATTCTTTTCCCAACACCTCAGCATTTCCAAGCAGAAAAAAACACTGGTCCCAGTGTTTCCCATCCCTGTTCTTGTTCTTGTACCTCTGCTCAAAAATCCCTAAAATTTTTGAAGCTGGAGAAGGTGGCACGTGCTGGCAGCAGCTTTGGGGAACGGTCCCCAGGTGCTGATGTGAGCTCTGGCTGGGACATGCTGGGATTGCCTGGGATACCCAGAGCAGACACCCAGGCATTCCCCCAGAGCCTCGTCAGCCAGGCACATGTGGCCGGCTGGTTTCTGTCACCACAGGCAGAGCCGGAGGGCACCGCACACGCGGCTGCCTCTGCACACAACAGCACCCTGCCAGGCATCTTCTTTGTCTCAACAAATTACCCTGAAGTGCCCTAAAATATTCAATTTGCTAGATGGAATTGAAGAAACGTGAACACATAGGATGCATTTTGCTGAGCTGACCAGAAAACTCTTCTTTCGAACAGTCAGGACATGATGTAGCACGGCAGCAGAAGGTGAAAGGAAATGAAGGCACAACAAAGCAAATGTTTTGCAATGACATTTGTCCTGGAGTGTAAATTAGGAGCTGGAAGGGCTCGGTGACAGTCCAGCACACACCAACAAGAGGGTCTGAGTATGCATCAGGAGCCAGAGGCGACAGCCCAGCCTGCAGGACCAGCTGTTGAGGTGATGCTAAAGGTAGTCTAAAAATAAAACACTTATCAGGGTGAGAAGGGCTGAGTATTTCATCACTCTGCCTCGATCGATGACTAGCAAAGCATGAGCAAGGAGGATTTCTGTTTTGTTAGCAGCTGTTTTCTGATTCACAGTTTGCTGGGCTAGGGCAAATACCTTCCATTGATTTAAGCCTTGCAAGAACATTGTGCAAGCACTAGGCTGCACAATCCTCCCCCCACTGGCAACCCTGCTCCTTTTGGTGTAGGACAGCAAAACACAGCATTTTTACAAAAAAAGACACATAAAACACATGGCTGACCCAACACTGGTAAGAAGCAACAGGTTTGGTACTCAGCTCCTCTTCTGCCCACCTGCCTCACATGGAAAAGCAAGCAAACCTTTCCCTGCCATAGGAAAAGAGCTTCACCCCATCTGAGTGACTTTACAAACTCTGTCCTGGAAGATCTGCTATTTGAGGGACGTTTCACTGAGCACACGGGTAGGTTTGATTCTTAGGGCCTTGCACTCACGAGAGAGAGGCAGGGAAGGGGCAGGGAGATGAGCCTGACAGGGGCAGAGCATGGGCAGGGCGGCTCTGGACCACTCTCCGCAGGCTGTAGGCAGGCTCTGAGCTGCACGGGGCAGCTTCACACCCTTGTCCACCCTACACAGACCTGTGGCATCCAGCAGCAGCCGCTCCCGCAGCGCGGATGCTCGGGCTGCTTTCCCACAGCTGAGCCAAGGAAAGCTCTCCCGGCACGGAGGGATGGCACGGACACGGTGACGGGCTCAGCGCTGCCATGCGAGGCTCGCTGCCGCCGCCCCGGGAGCCCTCGCCGTGGGAAAGCCTTTGATCTAACCACATCTCCCAGGGCCGCCTGCCGGACTCCGCTTCCACTTGGGTACCTGCTCTTGTAAACATCGGCGCCGGCGCTCGCAGAAGCCACATCCTGTCATCCCCTTGTGCAATCTGCAGGGCCATCTCTCCTTGGCCGCAGCGCAGAGGGGTTGCGACACGCAGGGAGCGCCACGTCCGTGTGGGGCAATGCGGGGCTGGTTCCCGTCGGGGCGCGGCCCCGGCTCCATCCACCCGCACGCACCCGGGGCTTGATTTTTTAAAGTGACCAATGCAGGCTACGTGCATCGGGAGATGGTTTCTGCAAGTAATTCTTCTCTCCGCAGGAACATACATCTGACTTTATAATTCATGCATGCCTGGGAAGTTCAATCCAGTCCCACTGGAGCAGCAAGCTTGGTGGGATTTTATTTATTTAAAAGAGTGTATGCAGTAGCATGGAAAAAAAATAAAAATCAAATCTATTAGAAACCATAAGTCTTAATCCTAAACCAGCTTTGCTTTTCCTAAAACATGGTCAGGGGAAATTGCTTTTAAAATGTGGCTTCCATGTAGCCTTAGCTTTAGTATTGCAATCCCCACAGAAGAGTGTTTAAGTATAATAATTAAAACATTTACAGAATGAAGATAATATATTGCTGATCCAAGTTTCTATGGAAATTTGGAGGCTATGCTGTATGCAGCTGTTCCCAACCCATGCAAAGGTTGGCTGTAACTTTACTTCTGAGCCCATTTGTAACTTGGGGGATAATTTATCTGTTCTGTTTACACAGTTCTCAGCTTGCACAGCCCTAGAGAGCAATATTTCTATGATTTCCAAGCAAAAGGGTGCTTTATCCTCCCGGCTCAGCCTGAGCAATTAGTGTTCTTAGGCTTAATGAGGTACCTCTGCTGAAAGGTGTGGGTGCTTGCTCTGGTGCTGCAGACATTGCACCGAATGAGATCTACCAGAAGAGCAAACACAAGGGGTGGACTGCAAACCCTTGCTCACACCCCTGTTGTACCCCCAGATCTGGCAGAGGCTGTGTCAGATGATGGGTTGTGGGTATGGGCCCATCCCTGTTGGTTCCTGCTAAGAGGTTTTGGTGAGCCTGTGGAGGGTAAACACAGACCAGAGGAAGATGAAAAAAAGGCAGTTTTCCCCCAGGATGAGGCTGGCATCTTAAGGGTAGGAAAATAGTTCTCTCTGAAGTCATGGGCACCTTTATACCTGTCACCTTATTAACGCTTTCACAGACTCACACAGATCAGGGAAGGCTGTTGACTGACAAAGAGAAACTGAAGAAACACCTCAGAAAGGATTTTAAATGCAATGATGAAGGACTTTTGGGCTTACTTTATAAATCAGGTTGATAAAAAGCTGGACAGCCTGCAACTTCATGTGGGAGAACAGAGAGCAGGCACTTGCTACCTGCTCATCATGATGACATGATTATGTTCTACATTCACTAACTTATCTCCAGTTAGTCCGTGGCTGATATAAGCAATTTTCATTTTGCAATGTTAAATAACTAATGAAGAAAGTATTAATAACCTCTAAGCAAAGAAAGTTGGCCAGAGGAGGAAAGCTCCAGCAGCTACACAATAGCCCCAGGGGTGTAAAATCTTCAAGTCTCATTGAAACAACAGCATGAAAATCTGCTTTTTACAAAGGGAGAGAAAAACTCTGCCAGTCAGGAGTGCACAGATGAAAATCTTTCAGCTGAAGTAAGGCTGGAGGTTCCCATCCTGAACAAATATTTAGCACCGTTCACTGAATAAATACCTTAGCATTTGTTTAAACTCAAAGAAAGAAAGTCATAAAGCTTCACAGTGGGAATTAAAAAAAAACCCAAACCCAAACAACTAAAACAAGCCAAAATACACTAAAGAAAACCCCCCAATTCCAGTATTTTAATTCCTTTTTTTGTATTTAGCTAATGCAGGACAGCTAAATTACAGTTGGGATGGAAGTGGTGATACCTCAAAAGTGTCACTGATTTTAGAGAGTAACTGTATCCAGAGGTCCTCTGTCATTTCTCAGTGAAAATAATTTGCAAATAAAGATACATATCCCAAGACATTAAAAAGTCTGTCAAAAGGGGTCTACAGAAATGCTGGAAAAGGACTTTTGACTAGAGCATGCAGTGACAGGACAAGGGGTACAGCTTCAGACTGCAAGAGGGCAGATTTAGATTAGATATCGGGAAGAAATTATTTACTGTGAGGGTGAGGACAAGAGATTTGAATACACATATTTTGTATTGCATAAGCATGTAAGCCAGGCTGAGATGAACCTGAACTCCTCTGCTTTCCCAAAGGGCAGGATCAGCTCAGCCCCAGCAGGCAGACTCTGCTCTGATGGAGAGCAATGCCCTGTTCACCCTCTGGTCTCCCTGACTTGTGTGTGGAGAAAAAGGAAGGGGCTTTGATGTAACACAAGAGTGATTTCCTAGAAGACAACAAGATTTGCTGAGCTGCTTGTGCTAAAGGGCTGTTTGCAGAAGCACAGGTCCCTCTGTGTCCATGCCAGGGTTTGCAGCAATAAATCACGGGTTCACTTGGATGCATTCCTTATTGCTTGTGGGAACCCTGTTGCTAAGTCACACAATTATGCCATAAAGCACCTATGATTTTTTTGTAGTTGGGTTTCTTTTGTTCCCCAGAAAATCTTCTGGGCATACAGGTTTCCTTAAGGCAAAATCTTAAATTTTCAGTTACATATTACCTAGATTTTGGTCATCATCTTACTTGCAACCTGGACATGCCGTGAAAACGTGTCTTCATATGGTTCCCTGCTGGGTTACAACAGCAACCACCTCATCAGAGCTGCTCACTTTTCTTTCTTGGACAATACAGATAAAATATTATAGGGTTTAGTAGTATCTGTTTCCAGAAGTGCTACCTCAGTTCCTTATCATCATAATAAACCATAACAATAGAAAAACTGAACTAAGATTTATCTGAGATTAACAAACAAACTTAAACACATTAAGAAGTCAATTAGAAAGTAATTTGTAGTCTGCTTGCTTTCCAGCCTAGAGAAGCTCTGGATGCACCATCCCTGGAAGTGTTCAAGACCAGGTTGGATGGGGCTTTGATCAACCCAGGCTAGTGGGTGGCATCCCTGGCCATGGCAGATGATCTTTAAGGTCCCTTCCAACCCAAACCACTCTGCAATTCTGGTTTGCAGGATACCACCTTCCTTACTCTGATGGCCAGTTTTGTTGTTTCTATGATTACACTGTTTTAAAGCCAGAGCCTAAAAATCTCTGCACATATTGAAATCTCTCCTTGTACACATAAAGGCTTTGGGTTTTTTTTTAATTATTTAGATTCTGGTATTTTCTTTGTGACTACTACTGCTACATACATTAAATCAGCTCTGAAGTTAGACAGCAATTAGAGCAAATGTTAAGATCATCAGCCACTCAGGTCTATTAAAGCAGAAAACTATTTTTGAGGCAATCCAAGAAACACAGCCCAGCTGGCCAACGACAACACACCTTCCTCATAAAGACACAGGTTTTTGTGCAGCCAAGGAGCAGCTGCATCTGACCCCTGAGCCCAGAGGAGCCCGAGCGCCAGCTAATGAAGCAGCTGCAATGTAGATACATCCTGGGAGCACACTGCCCTTCAGTTTGCTTTCCTAAAAAGGGGGAGGTGTGTGGTGTCCAACTATGCTATGAGCCTGTCCGCCTGAACAGAGGGACACAAGAGAAACCTGTTACAAAGAGCAAACTGGAGCCAGACCTGAAAATGTGACAAGATGGTGCAAGCTGGGATCCAGGAGCACATGAGCTCTTGCAGAACTCATCCCATGCAACTTTGGTTTCCACTGACAGGGAAGATCCTTTTTCCTGCCAGAAGACAGAGCATGTCCTTCATCACGCTGCAGCATTTGCATAGAAGAACGCATTCCTGATTAGAAATAGCCACAAACTGCCAATTAATTAACAGCTAAAAATTACTTTAAAGAGGTATTTAAGATTTCTTTTTTTTAACTTTCTTTGGTCCCCTTGAAATTTAATAAAAGAAAAACCTGTGTTAAACTTCTAGGGTGTTTTAATTCACTTTAAGTCTCAAATACACCCCAGACTTTTAAGAATAAGGGTTGTTGCCTAATGTTCATCCCAGTGGCACCTTTCAGGCCATACTGCAAAATGCAAGGATCCATTAAGGAGAAAGCTACATGAACAGCCCTTCTGTTGTATGGCTGCTTTGCCTTGTGTTCCCAAGCAGCATGGCCATGGTGTTCTTGGGATCCAGAGCAGAGGGGTGGGAGGGCAGGAGCTACCTGGTGGGAGCTTCACAGGCTCTCCATCAGCATGGGGGGAGCCTGCAGCCACGGTGACACAAAGGGTGGGTTTTGGCAACAAAACTGACCTTTAGGAATACTACTGGTATCATAAATATGTCTGCAGATCCTCACAAGATGCCTGTTGGCCAGGGGGAAGGAGCAGGACATGTGCACACATGCAGGGCACACCAGGAGGCATGGGGACTTTAAAGCACCTTCTTTTTAAATAATTCAAACCATGTTCTTTTCAATCCTACCTCAGGCAGGCCTCCAAAGTGTTCCTGGCACCCACGCACTGGCTTCTCAGGGTTTAGTCCTGCAGTCTGCATCCATCCTTCCCTCTCCTATTTGATCAACAAGTTTGTAAGATGCTGATTTGGCAGGGATTTTTCCATTTTTCTCTGAAATGAAACTGTCACTTGGAAAGGAGAACTTGTCTATTGTACCAATGTGTGAGATAAAAAGGATGCAGATTGCAGAATGGAAAAATAGCAATAAAAACAAAAAGACACCAAAGCCATATTTAAAACAGAAGCAAGAAGTATTGAGTAGTGAAGAGCTAAGTACCTTGTTTATATACATCTCAAGTGCTTTTTGTTTGTGGAATAAAAAAGTAAGAAAAGATATCTGGATGTTCATACTCACAAGGGGACATTACAGGATCGTTACACTTGTAGACTTTCTGTCTTCCCCAGCCCATTAACATCCCATCCCCACACCTCAAGCAAGATATCCCTGGAGATGTCACCTTCTTTCATCACATCTAATATCTAATAAAGACGTAAGAGAATTTAATAACAGACTGCACAGGGGAGACTTCTTTTCAAACAGCCAAAGCTGCAGCTGATATAGATGCTGAAGTGCAAGAGTGACCAGGATACCACAGGGTGTTTAGTTTTGGAGGTCATGCCAGTGAAGCCACTGATATCACCCCAGCCAACTCAAAATTTGTATGAAACAAGATATAAAAAACTTGTCCAGCCTTTCCAGCTTCATCTGTTTGAGTTCAGCTCCCTACCACTTGGTTCTATAAATTTACAAAATTCTTTGGAGGAGGACTGCATTCTCCAAAGGATCCTGAGACAAAACAGCAAGTGAAAGAGACCAAAGTGGTCAAAGTGAACTTGCACCCATCTTAATCACACTTGCTGAATTTACAGAGTATTCCTAGATTGCTTAAAAAATCTGCTGCCCTACTTGAGAAACCAGCCCCTTACTGGTCTCCTGCTAGAATAAGTAGTTGTGTAAACAACACAGTGTTTTATGGTGCCTCTCTCCCAGCCCTAATATAGTTTCCACAGCCTAAATTTTCAGGAAGGACCATTCAGTTTGGGTACTCAAACTGAAAAACCTTTAGAAGCTAATGTTTTGGGGTTTTTTATCTGGAGGTGAGCAAGCATTGTCATAGCAGTGGTCTTACATAAAACCATCTCAAAAATTCCAGAAAAACAGAGAAATGAAGGTTGCCAAAATACCATACAATTTCTAAAAATTGTGGCAAGCTAAAATAAAGCACACTGACCTGACAGCTGGGTCTTGAAGTTCTGTATGGCTTATTCATGTAGTGCCTGCCAGGTCCTTTGTCATTCATCTTTTACAAATCCATGTTCACATATTTATCCAGTACAGGTGTACTAGAATGTTTTCTATAAATGCTTTTGCTGCTGGAGATGGGTGATTGGCTTCACAGTTCTTCTCAGGTGTGTGTTTAAATGGAGAGGGGAACAAGCCAAGTATAGACAAATGTCTGGTTACAAATATATATATGTACTATGAGGTAAATATACAAGAGAAATGGAAAATGTTTATTTGCTGAGAGACAAGCCAGATAACCAGGGGCAATGGCCTTAAGAGTTAAGCTCCCAGTTTTGCCACTGGTTTGCTGAGGAGGACACATATGGAAGGTATTTGTGGTAGCTGCACCAAGTTTATTATTGAGTAAAGAACTCAGGACACTTTCACTCCCCCTTTCTCACTAAATCTATGAATTCAGCTTTTACTACACTAAAAACATCTCAATTTTTTTCTTTTCAACTATTTAATGTAAATTGCCAGACTTCTTGCATGCTTCAGGAGATTCCTCCCAAAATGGAGTAGGGTTGGTATTAATTTCTGGGCTTTCTCCCAGAAATATCTCTATTTTTCTTGTTCCTTCACAGGGTCAGTGATTCCCTCATTCTGGGCTCCCCCCGCTTGGTGTCCCCATCCTGCTTCTGGAGATCTCACAGACTTGGTGCATCACACGCTTGTGTGTCACCCACTTCTGTCACCCCAGGGAGTCCTCACCGCTTTGCTGACAGAGCATTGGGCCACAGGGAAGAAGAGGTTTGTAAGGTCCAGAAATAGTCTTAGGGAGAAGAAAGGAAATGCTGAGTGTTGGCTACTTGGCAAAGGCTGCGCGTCTGCTGCCGTTGTGGAAAATGCCTGGGAGGCACCATTAACCACTGCTCTTTGCTACGGGCTGGCTTGTGTCCACACCACTAAGGACCAGCGCTCTCTGAAGGGCAGTGGTTACCTTCATGCTGTGCAGCACTTGGCCTGGGTCTCCTCTGAGCTGCCTGCAGAGCCCCACAGACCCCAGGTCAATAATTATTGCATTGGGCAGATGTTTAAGTTTGAAATTCTCTAAGTGGTGAAAGGACTGGATTGCAGCCTGCCAGCATTATGTTTTTCAGCAGGATCTGAAGGCATTTTGGGTTCTACAGCACAGCATGGAGGACAGTGGGCATGAGGTCTCCTAGGATGGCTGGAGGACTGTCCAGGGTAAAGCCTGGTCCAGCTCATGCCAGGCTCTTCTGTGAAACCCTGAAAAAAGGCCCTGTCAGCCGTGTCGAGGCTTCTCCTTGGGAGAAACCAGTTGGTTTGCTCTGGAGCAGAGACAGGAGGGAGCTCATATGCATGCCACAGAGACAGCCAGTGAGCAGAGCCTGGGGGGAACAGAGGCAGCCAAATTGGCTGTGCAGACAAAAGGTGCTCTCATACCCTCACTGTTGTCTCACCCACTGAGATGTTAAACTCAGAAGAAGCAATGCAATATTTCCTGACCATCACGTGCAGGATTGGCACCAGGTCCCTGTCACAGCCATCAGTCTGGAGGTGGCTCTGGCATGTGCTTCTTCAGCCACCTTGAGCTTTGCCAGATGAGGACAATCTTCTTCCCTTGGCTCTGCAATTTTTAAAGGTCAGTGTACCTAAACAGCAATTCTTCTGTATCTCTTTCAATTAGCCTTTGGTTTTGGGCCTGTCTAGGGGTTTAAGCTCAGTCTTAACCTTAAGATGTTAAGATACATGAAATACCTAAACCAAATTAAACAGCACACAACTGGCAGATTTCAGTATCCCCCCCATCCCATTTACAGTCCTCATTTGCTATCATTATTCTCTGTCATACACAGTCTATTTACAGCAATACATGAAAATGTTTACTTTAAAATATAAATGTAATTATAAAGGTATAATTACAGATATGCCTGCACCTCTTTGAGCCACCTCAAATTACAGTTTCAAATTATAACAATAAAAAAGATCAAATTAATGACCTTGATTAATTTCATTACAGAGTGGAGCGAGTGCTGCTCAGCACAGGGTAAGCTTACACTGCCTGACCTCATTTCATCCGGCCTCTTCCCTGCAACACAAGAGCTCCCGATGGCACATCAGGTGAGCCGTTCCTCCCAAAGACAGTTGCTAAGCAATCAGCTGCAGGGTTATAAATGTTCAGTGCTTGATATACAGCACATGGGGGTAGAGATTAACTCTTTTTTTTTTTTTTTCTTTCCAGGTATTAAGGGAACCAGGGTGGTTCACCTGAACTGCACTGAAGGAGTTTGGAATAAGAAATCAACCCAGATTTAAGGCAGCCTTCAGTGTTTGTGTACAGATTGAACTGATTTATCGTGCGTGCTATGTGCGGAGTTGCAAAACCTTGCTATATTAGTGATTTAAAAGGAGGAACAATTTGATTTGTCATTACTAATAGGGATGTAACTAAATTAGTCTCCCACATACTTTATGCTGATGAGGTCTTGCTTAGATTTCCCTTTGTAGATTTACATCCTCACTAGCTTTAATCACAGCTAAGAAACATATCGTATGAGTAATACTATTATGAAATACTGAAGTATTTTCAGAGGGGTTTAGAAACCCAAGAAAATCATAGGAGTCAAAATCAAAGGTAATCTTTAACATTCAGCCCTATGTTGTACATTTGATTAAATATTAATTCACAGCAATGTGTTGGGTACTTACAACCAAACTCTCTTGACCCATTTGAAATGCACAGTCACGTATATAAACTTGGCATTTGAAAAAGGACAGGTCAATGCTGTAGATGCCACTTAAATATTTTCTACAGTTCTTGCTTCATTAGTGGTCTAACCCCACTCCTATAAGTTGTTGACTTCCTCACAGCTGTGGAATTAGGAAAATATTGCTGTAAGATAGATATGCAGCCTTTGAAAAATTATAGCCTCTCTCTTCAATCTTTTTTTTTTTAATTTGTGTGGGGTTTTTGGTTTTTTAGCAAAACGACAAGAGATGAAAGGAAGGCAACCAAATCCTGGTTTAGTCAAAGAATTTGACTTCTCCGACCAACAACAGAATTCATGTCTGGATAGGAACATTAGGAATTGGGCTGCTTTCTGGTTAAAAAGA